GTGAACAAGGAGAACAAGTGCTTCCGCATCCTCGTGCTCCTGGCCCTTTTCCTCTTCCAGGCGGACGCGGTGAAGTATACCATCACGATTGAGATTGATGGTGAAGGTCGAGTCCAACGTGAAGGTGATGAGCAACTACATGGGTTCACTTTGGTGGAAAGCGCGAGCTCTCAACCTATTGTTGCCCCCGGTGGTGGCGCTACTTCGTCTACGAGTTCTGCGACTGGTGGTGCTACGTCCTCTTCTTCGTCTACGGCAGCTTCTTCGGCAACCACAGGTCCTACGACAACGAGTGGAGCCCCAGCTACGAGAGCAACAACGGAGGATGGACCGCCCGTTGGGTATGCATCTGGCGTCGTCACCGTTTGGCGCATTGGTCATGGAAGCTGCTATCACAGGCAGTTTTGTGGAATGGTGAATCGTGCACGCCGTGTGGAGCCGCACAAGCTTCTTGAGCTTAGTCGACGACAGGCGGAGGCAGCTGGACTGAAACCGTGCAGACAGTGTGGTCCTGAGTCGAACGCGTAGTTTTGTACAGCAGGTGTGTGTAGTGAAGACACACGTTTTCTCCAGAAGTCGCTTTTGGACCTTTGTGTAGATAGGTTCGCGCAGTTGTGTATCGCATGTTGCAATGCAGTTCAGAAGCTGTTAACATGCAGTTTTCTTTTGGTGAACACTGAGCCGTGTAGGGACATGTGCATTCTAGAAGAAGAAAGGCCCCAAGATGCCAATGCACAGTCCGGTAACAAGCACCGTTGGTCAGGCTAGTCGAAAAGCTGTGACCCGCAAGAAGGTCCCTGACCATCTGAAGCGCTTGTCAAAAGTAGTGCAGCCGCTAAACTACATTTGATGTACAGTTGTAAGCCTTAGGTCGTGGAGCGCTCTAAGCTTTGTGTGCAGTGTGCTGAGCTTCTGTTTTGGAGAACCATAGTGGCGTGTAACGTCGGCTACTTAAAAAAGTGGCATTGGCTCCGAAAGTTTGCAGCAGATGATTGTCTTTGAAGGACTATCATCTGAGGGGGGTTTCAAACTTTTCCAGAACCCAGGAACCTGTTTTCATGTGCTTAAGACAGCACTTGCAAAGAACAACTTGTGACCGACTGCAAGGCTCAAAGAAGTGTGAAAATAAGTGACTCGTGCGTTTTCCGCGCACTCTGTTGGCTTCGCTCACGAGGCTCAGGCTCCTGCCGGGGAGGTTGGGAAAGCCGGTTCACATCTTCACCCTCGCCCGCCGGCCTCCACTTGAACTTCCACCATGCCTTGACTGTCCTCGCCAATTGAGGGCTAGAGGCTTTGGCATGAAGGCAAATGCCGAACCTCCTCGTCATCTGGACCATCGCCTTCCTGGAAGCATGAAAAACCGAGCAAGGCCGTGCTGAGAGCCACGCCGCCTCGGCCTCCTCTCGGTGCTCCTCCCGCTCCAGCTGATCCTGCGCAGAGTGGGAACCCGCACCCCCCCACTAACGAAATGGGAGCCGCACCCTAATCATCTGTATCCCCGTCTGCTCCACCAAAAGGCCGCTGAGCTCGTACAGCAGCCCGATCTGAGCTTCAACGGGTTCGGCTTGACGGCTGGGAGCTTGGCTGAGGCACGGACGATTGCCGGGGCGTCAAGACGCCCCAGCTCTCGCCTCGGAAGGTGCAAGACCTCCATGAAGCCATCCATGACACCTGGCAAACGGCTTGAAGCAGAACATGCAAAAAAAAACTCCCGGTCCAGGCCTCGAGGCAAATGGCAGCCCCACCCCACCCCCGCACAGAGCTAGTTTTCACTTCCTTGCTCACAGGACATGCAGGCCGCTTAGTCCATGCGTGCCAAGTCTAGCTTTGTGGTTGCACGTGAATGAGATTGGAGGGTGACATGAACTCTGTCAAAGCCAGTCAACAAGGACGAATGCCGGGATCTACCAATATCAAATGCAGAAAGGGATGCGGTTGAGCTCATTCTCGCTGAAACATGTTCTGAAAGCCTCAACCCTAAACCCTGCCTTGAAGATTACACCGACCAAAAACCTCTTGACTGTTACTTAGACTCTTGACCGTCCTACTTTCCCACATAAGAACGTTGAAATAAATAACAGGATGCCGCGATGCCCTTCCTTCAGCCGGCTCGACGTTTGGGCAAAAGCAGATCGAAAGCCTAAACCCGGCCCGCAAGACAACACCCGTAGGACTGTAAGAACCTGCATCGGGGTCGAAGGTCCTGAATTTGTACATATCGATTGTTTGGAGGTCGGGTCTTTGGGGGTTGGCCGTCTTAGAGTCTTATTTCTCCCTTCCCAAGCAAGAACGCGCACATGAACAGGATGCAGCAACTGGGCAAGAGCAGCCGGTTCTCACAGTCCCGCTGCCAAAGCGACAGGAACAGTATGCAACCCCGAAGCTAGAACCCAGGCATCGCAGACCCGGTAAACCCTCCCGTCACACGACATAGACCTCACTCTGCGTCCAACGTTCCTGAGGAGCAGCCCGAACGTGCTAGGTCCGCTAGGTCTACAGCTGCTCCCGCAGCCGAGGCGGCCGGAGTGTCAGTAAAGGACGGCCGTGCATGGTCGTGTTCGGAACTGTTGTATTCTGGGTCGCGAAGCCCAACATCGCATTGGTTGAAGCCCCCGTTCTGTTCGGGGTCTGGGATGGTGTCTCTGCACCCCACGCTGACAAAGTCCGACATGGTTTCAAAAGCATATCCGTCTTTGGGTCTGGAATCCTTGTCTCCCGCCAGCCCACGTTAGCCGACCCTAAGCACGCGCCGGTCAGGCCCTTGTTGTAAAGGACCAGGAACATCGCACATTACACGGCCTGTTCTGCATTGCGTGAGTTTTGGATACACGGGCTGCAACACGGCAGAACGACATGTCCCAAGTAGCGGGTCATCATCAGCCTCAAACCCCCCAAAGCAAACCCCCATTCTCGCTTCGAGAGTAGGAGTGGGGCTGGGTTCTCGACTCGCCGGACTGCGCGTGGTCAGGGGCTAGGAGGGCTTTTTCCAATACAAACGAGCAACATCTTTCGTTTGGATTGATAAACGAGCTTCCTCAGTACTCCGTGACCAGCCGGGTCGGTAATGCTGGATTCAGGAGGGCACAAGGAACATCGGGGGTATTGTTGTTAGCAAAACGAGGCACTCCCGAACCAATCAATCGCGCTTTGTTGGCAATCCAAAGCTTACAGGACGTGAAGCGGCTGCTGGCCGAAGCAACATGTGAGCGCTTCCCAGATGCCCCGATGACCGCCAAAACCTGCGCGACCTGCAAGCAGCTGAAGAACAAAACACTCTTCGCACCGTCCGCTTGGCCAAACCAGGCACGCATGGTCAGGTCAAAACCCCACCTCACCCTCGCCCTGCCCGGTAACCTTCCGTCCTCAATCTGCTTGATTGCAGGAGCCGATTTGCTTAAGTGCCAATGAAAGGACGAACGGCTTTTTTAGCGTGCCAATCAGAGCCGCGTTTGTGCGGTCTGCAAGACAGACCAGCCTACAGTGTCACGCAGTGGTCGCACAGCTCCGCTGGCAAGTGTGTGAATTGCTGGAGAAGGCCGTGGCGAAGGCCCCCAACCTTCAGCCCAAACAGCCGGACAAGACTTGCTCTGTTTGTAACAAGGAGCTGCCGCGAGCAAACCTCTCTTCCACACAGTGGCAGCTACTTCGAGTGGGGCCATCGGCCATCGCCACCCGACAGTGCATGGACTGCCACCAGGTCATACACAAGGTTAATTTCGCAATTTCACCTTGGCAGAAGCCCGCACGAGAGGGCAGCAGGTGCAAGCATTGCTGCCGACAGAAGCTGGCTCAGACCCGCGCTGAGTTCGTGGCAACCCACACCAGGCAAGGCGGACAGGGTGCCGCAGAGTCGCTTGCGGCCTAGGGATGTCGACAAGGCCACCGCAATGCGTTTCATCATGGAGGCTGGTGAAGACGTGCTACCATCCACTGATTTGAAAGCCTACCAAGCTGTGCAGGCACGATAGCCGCGAAAACTGGAGCACTTTGCGCATGCAGACTGATGACAGTGGCATCTCCTTGGCCGACAAGAGGACCTACGGTCATCAAGCTCACGTGGACCTTTGCCACCTCAAGGAACGCCCTGGCATCGTGGTGCAACATGCACTTGGATGCCGCATGGTGCATCGCGCGCTGTGAACAGTGTCGCGCCAGCTGCACTCGTCAGCGCATGCGACCACAGTCCATCTGCCAACGCCAGGCGGAGTGTCCTCGTGGCTCCTGCTGCTTGCAGTTTCCTGCGGTCCGATTTTCTTGCGAACCCCTTCTGAAGCGCCCCAAACACGAATAATCATGCGAAGTGTTGCCTTGCAGTTTCTGTGCAGTTCTTGCAGTCCGACAATTCCTGCGAAGCCGTCCAAACACGAGTAGTCATAGAAGTATTGCCTATCATCTTTCCAGTTCTTGCAATTCTTGCAGTCCCTGAGAAGCCGGTATTTGGAGGGGATATCATTGGGGGGGTGGGGAGGGGGCCGAGAACGCACAGCACACAACCACATATGTCCAGGAATGCGCACATGAATGCACACAAAGGCAACAACCGTCCAGGATCCAAAAATAAAATCATTCCCTGCTCGGCGCTTCGACCTTTCCCCAGGCCCAACATCCAACGAAGCTACCAGTGGCGTGGGAAGCCAGAGTTGGCCACTCTGGTGTATTTGCAATTCAGTGATCGCAACACAGCCGAACCTCTAGCATCCTCGCTGTGCACGGTCATCATCGCTGTTGGTGCCACGTAGCAAGTTTTAGGTAAATATTGGTTTCGTTTTTCAGAAAAACCCAGCTGGGAATCCAGCTTGTTGAGGACCTCCATTCAACGTCAAAAACCTTGAGTCTCAGCTTGAATCTGAGTACATATTTCACACTGAGTGATCAGTCAGCAAGCCGAGTATCAAGAAAGTTTCTGTGTGTGTGTGTGCGTGGGCGTGTGTGTGCGTGGGCGTGTGCGAGCGTGCATGGAGCGTTCCAGGAGACGAGTAGAGTAATCTCGTTGATTTCAGGAAGAGCTCTTGGCCCACTTGCTGGCCGAGCACTGGGTGAAGATCGTCATAGGCCTCCTCCGCACTGCGATGTGGGTTACAAGTAGGGCCCAGTAGGTAGGGGCTCCGTGTCATGGAGGCCTCGGCCTCGCCGTTGCTCTGCGACTGCCGCAGCTTTTTCTGAGCGAAGACGGCCGGGATCCGGAAGCACCACTTCCAGAGTGCTGGAAGAGTTTTGGCCGTCATTTTTCTGAGGGGTCGTCTTCCACATGCTCTTTGCCTGCGCCCCCAGCAGAGTGCGAAGCAGCGTGACATCCGTGTGTGAGTCGTGCGTTTGCGTTTGTTCAGACCTTGGTGACTGTCCTCAGATGCATGTCTCCTGCGCTGACCTCGGTCTCGATCTGCTAAGAAACCTTGCTTCACCGTTTCCCCTTGATTCGGATCGATGTGTTGCAGGTCATGCTCTGGTTTCGCGACGAGATGGGCTTGCCGAAGAAGGGAAAATCAACGGCCGGGAGCTAGCATGAATAGCATGAAGCTTGCTTGCTTGTTTGCTTGCTTGCATGCGCTGTAGAGAGTAGCGGTGTTAAACAAGGCAACTAACACATCGCCGCAGCCTCGGAACGGAAAGATGCAGCTTCAAGCAGCCTATAAATATGGAGGGGTTACTGTTACGACTGAGACTGAGGACTGGTGGCGTGCCCACGGCGGCACCGCACAAGCACAGCCAGTGAGTCAAAGACACCACTCACGGACAAAAAGCGCAGACCGCAGAGTACGGCCTCAGCCTGGCCGCGAGCGAAAAAAAGAAGCATGCGGCAGGCCCCCCTCAAGCGCATCGAAGCGTCAAAGACGCGAGGAGTACGCTGCTTGCAATCAACCAGATAGCACAAAGCGAAGTCTCGTCGTCTCCGGGCCACCGCCACCGGTCTGGGAGTAGTCTATGTCTAGTGTCCCTTGTGACGTTGGGCGTAGGCAATTATCACCTTTGGTTTCGCTGGCACTCACATGCACCGAAAGTGGAGGTAGCAGGACTGGATGCAGCGGATCAGACATGCCGGATGCAGTTTGCGACATCAATGCCCCGCTCTTTCCTTCCGTACTGAGATGAAGCCAGTAGTGAAGAGACGCGATAGCATTGCAGCGGAACATTAACAGAGATGGCATTTGAAGTTCTGGGAAATGGGCATGTGAGGCATGTGCATACGCCGCTGGAGGGCTTGGGCATCCGGTAAGGGGCAGCAGTTGAGCCCGTGCCCGTCGTTTCGACTCCGAGCAGTCTGCCCTCGGCGCAGACCGGCATGCGGCAGCATGCGGCAGCTTATGAGTTCCTCCAGTGAACCCAGTTCCTCTTTGTCTCACATTTGTTCTTTGCTCCCCCTCTCGCTCCGCTCGATCTCTCTCTCTCTCTCTCTCTCTCTCTCCCTCTCTCTCTTTGATGTGCCCCAACCAGGTCTTCACAGCACAGCTTTGCAAGCAGCCACTGACGAGGCATGTCCATCACCCGAAGACTATCAACTCTCACATCCTGCCTTTTGCTTGCGACACCTGGTGAATCTGAAGGCGAATAGCAATGCCAACTGTTATCAGGAAAAAGGAAAGGCCTAGGACCTAAGTGTGCTCGTCACTCCCGCCAACTGCTTGGATCAAGGCCAGGACAGTCCAAGGGAGGCCTGTCGATGCCATGGCTTGTTCGTTCCTGCTGGGGTGGCCAGGGCTGTTCGTCCTTGCGAACATTCTCTGGTCGAGGCTCTTGACTGCGTCGAGTGGTGTAAGCCTTGTGGACCTCAGGTGCCGAGAATGCGCGCAATGCAGGAGATGGTGAACACCATGAGGCAGCTCAGTTTGACACAAATTGCTTTGAAGATCCGTCATCTTTGTTTGAGAAGGGTCATCAAGCCACCGGTCCGTTGCTGTGCTCGTATCGATCAAGAAGACAGCGTTTCCACGCGAATTCTGCATGGGATGATCTTATGGGGGGTTTGATGAGAATTGAAATCAAGGCACCACCCTCATTTCATGCTTCGCAGCTCAGCTGAGGATGTGACGGAAGTTCCGGTCGCCCAGCGAGATCTTCTGCCCAAAGCCCTTGGCGGTTCCGTGGCCCACAGGCAGTCCTGGTCACGTGCGGCCTGCACCGCAGTTTCACAAGCTAGCAGATGTGTGCGTGCTGTCGCTCCCGATGCTCCGATCTAGCTATAGCTCCGCGCTTCCCCCCAAGCCTGGCAGCCTGGTCGTCCCTGGTCGTCCTTGGCCGAACGGCAAGCGAGTCGAACGCACAAATGCCCTCTGCTTAGGTGTTCGGGGCGGATTGTGGGTTTCGGCTTGTTACAGCACTTCTTACACAGCTTACACTTCCATTAACTGAGCCCGTCTTTTGCATGCAGGGTTTGCAGGCAAGGAGACGCTGGCGATTTCCCTTGAGTCTCTGCCTGGATGTTCACGTAGAAGGTCCCGTAGGCCGCAGGGCATTGATTCCTGGAGCCGACGTGAATTAAAATTCAGCCATCCAAGCGTGATATCTGGCCGGTCGTCTTACGACTTGCGGTTGCAGACATCCTCCTGTGCTTTGGTCAGCAGTGTGACCATGCGCAGGGTCCAAGGCCGACGATTCGCTCAAAATTCAGCGGTTCAAAGAAGGTTTGGGAAGTGGCCTCGCCTGCGCGAACACACAGGAGATGCAGAAGGAGTCGGAGTTCTCGTCAGCTTTTACCAGCTCCTGTAGCTCTGCCATGCAGCGAGGCCCAATCTCCAGGTGGCAGCAGCGGCAGCCCGCACCTGCCACACCTCGTCATCGTTTGACGCAGTCGCTTTTCGTTCAGACCTCGGCCCTCGACAAGGGGAGTTAGACCTTGCGATGCCTCGCTGGCCCCTCTCGTCATGTTGCATACTCGTATCGCAGGAGGCGACCGTCATGAGCTCTAGAGCGCAGCTGTCTCTAGTGTGCACTAGCACAGCTTCTCTGCACTGGACTCAGGAGCCGGCACATGAAATCTCCGGGCCAAAATATGGTCCTCTCCCAAGCCTTGGAGCACCTTGGAGCACCTTGAAGAAAAAAGCCACTGTTTAAAGGGCCAGAAGAAGAAGAGAAGATCCCGAGCTTTTTCAGATGTCGGCAGCCTGAATCCTCGTCGGCAGCCTGAATCCTCCTTTGTCCAATAGTCTCCCTGTGCTCTCTGCCGTTCCTGCCGCTCTGATCTTCGGCTCTCCAGAGTCCCCCTTTCAAGTTGCCGCATCTTTTCTCAGACCCTGTTGCCCTTCACCCGCGCCGCCTAAAAAGCACGCCCCCCAAAGCTGCTCGGCCCCGTTCCGCAGAGTCGTAGAATCTTAGAAGCACTGTCAGCACGGCATCGGCTCCCTTCAGGTCGGCTTGTACTGGTCTCTCTCTTGTCCTTGGTCTTTGGCACTGAAAGGGCTTTCTCCAGGGCGTTTAAACGCCAGGAAGCCGATGCAGCTTGTAAGAATAAGACAATGTGAAGACCGGCAGTCTGATTGTCATCCCCAAGAAGCTGCCACTGCTTGGAAGAGCGAGAGGATCTGATACTGGTAGCGAGGGTTCCATTCATTGCCTATGAGCCTGGGATGCTTTGGAGACGAAAGCCTGCAAAGCCGTGTACTCGTAGCTCTTGAGGGTGCTTGCGAGGCAAAGCCGTGCAGACACTTTCACGGTGAAAAGGAAGGCTTCAGAAGCCCATTGAAGCTCTGCGGGTTGACAGGCGGAACGTTGATGGAGCCAGTGTGCCAGTGAGTGCTTGTGTGCTTGTGCCGTGCCAAGCCGAGTAGCAACGGCGTCGGTTTCGCACATGGCATCCCATCGTCTTTAACAGAGTTTAGTGAAGAGAGAGCAGCGGCTCGAGGACCGGCGGGGGAGGGCGATTGGTGGTTCCAGATGACACTGGAAGCCCTGTTCATGTGGCTTCCTGCCCCCTGCAGTACCGTTGTATTCCTTGCAGAGGCCTGCGGCCTGCACGTGTGTGTGAAGAGCTGTCCAACGAAAGTCAATCCAGTTGACCCGTCCTTGCCACAGCGCCTCCGTTGCTTGGACCACCACAGCCCTTCATAACTATGACCCACGGGCCCATGGCCGTCAGATTGCCTAACACAATTCCGTGCCCAGGGCTTTGCAAAGCTAAGGCAAAGCCGCAAAGCTTCTGAGACTACAAGGATTGATTCCGAGCACCGGGGTGCGACGTCGGCGTCGACTGCGCTTCCATGCGCGCCTGCTGGTCTCTGCAAAGTAGCCTGGGTGGCATGAAGCAAAGCCAGCAAAGCCCTCAGAGCTGAGCCCCGGCGGGAGCTGTGCCGCAGCGGTGCAGCGGCGGGCCCCGGCCGGGCCCCGGCCCGGCGCCGTGGCAGCGCTCGAGGCAGAGGCTCCTTGCACCGCAGGCCCCAGCTGGGCGGTTCGGGGTCTGAGAGGAGTTAACTGCCTTGGCCCAGCCCAGTCCAGGCTTTAAGTGCCTTGAGACTCTGAGGCTCTCGGACCTGGAAAACTCCAAAACGTTCTGACGGCAACTTGCTGCAGGAGCAGAGGCCAGAAGAGGCATAGAGACTTGGACTTGCCTCGTGTGCTCGAATTCCCCTGGCATGACCCGGCCGGGACCTCATAGTGGTTTCTTCCGCCAGCTGAGCTTGCAGGCTGTCGGGCATGCTGGCGCTGTGTTCTTAAGTGCCCAGCCTGAAGGCAAGCCTGCTCGACTTGTCGAGCATCGTTCATTTCAAGCATTCGCGTGCTGTTCTGGTTGACACCCCTGCCTTCTTAGTCTTGCTCTGAGACGCTCTTCCAGTGCGCCGCCAGGGCGGTTTGCAATGCAGCTGCAGGCGCTTCTGCTTCTCCATTAAACTCAAACGCAGGCGACAGCTGAGATGAGATCCTTTGGAAACACACTTGTGGCCTACAGGGCCTACAGCTTTCGTGGGTGGCCACGGCCTTGCCGGAACACCGCCACAGAATCCATGGCCACATAGCGCACATGCTACTCTGTCAAGTGCAGCGCCTCTTCGGTCTTATCAGGCCCACTCAGGCCCACGGTCTTCCGTGTGGGGGATCTCTGCAAAGTGCTCGTGATAGGGGTTGAGTGGTGTGCTGGACTCAGTTGACTTGCCCCTACGGCCTTTCCCGCTATAGCGCATGTCCGGTCACGTGCTGCTTTTGGAAGGGGAACTGAGTCGGCTTAAGGTCTTAAGCCATCGGTTGCATAAGCCTTGAAAGGATGAAGCATAAGGCTCTTCGTCATGCTCGCCGCATGGACAGGCCTCGGCTCTCTAGTGCCCAGAGGTGATCTGTGTCGCAGATCTCGAAGTCAGCATCAAGCACAGCAGTCGGCAGTCCCGCCGGAGCGTGAATTCTGGGTAAGATCTGAGTCAGTTTCTCCAGAATGTGCAGAGCTCCAGCGGTTACGAGGTGGACGGAGACAGAACCTGCCTGGGCGGTGAGAGCGTGACACAAAGAGTCAGACTGAGACTGCCTTCAGTTGAAGTGTAAGCCGTACGAGTCGCTACACCACCCGAGCCCGAGCCCGAGCCCAGCGGCGCCCAAAAGAATCTGAGCCCCGCTTTGCCTGGCCCTGCCGGCCCTGCCTTGCTCCGGCAGCTTCTGGGTTCTGTCGGTTCATGGCTCGCCTGTAGCACCAACGCGCAGAGCCCTCAGCATCCGACCCCGACGACCCATCCCACGTTAGCCTCACCACTTGCCTCTGCCTCCTCGCTTTTCTGAAAGACCCTGGCCCCAAAGCTTCGGCCCACTTGCAGTTTGGGAGCGTGCAGCCTCAAACTCTCCCTTTCTCCGCTTGGCTGCAGGGAGCTCTTTATCTTTGAACTGAAGTTTTGGACGAAGCTCCTGTCAGTGGCCGCTGGCCGGGGCTGAGCGGGTGCAGCGGGTGCAGCGGGTGCAGCGGGTGCAGCGGGTGCAGCGGGTGCATCGCTGCGCCGTGAGTCCGTGCACCCTGGAACGGCCTCTTCCAAAATGAGGAAGCTTAGCCACAGCAGCCACAGCTGCCCGACGGCGCTCTGACTGAGACCTCAGCCCGAGCAGCACTTGGGCGGGCACTTCGTTTCAGAATGGGCCGAGCACAAATTCTTAAAGCCGGCTGAGCGGCTCTAAAGCCTTTAGCGGCCGGCTGCGCCAGCACGGCAGGTGGCCGTGCCCGTGACCCTGTGCCGCGGAGGGTTCAGGGCTGTTTGTTTTTCGCATGGTGCCTTGACGTGCCGAACTCCGAACGGTAAGAGCTTCGGCTTCAAGTTTCTAACTGTAGTGGCTCTCGCATCACGCCGATTAGTCTTTCTCGGACGATCTGGTCAAGTCTTGTCGCTTTCGAGCTGATGGGCCAAATTTGCAAGTAACATGTTCAGCTCAGCAGACTTACGCGGACTCACCAAGCAGCGATTGCACCCCAGCTTTTGCCTGTGAAAGCAGTGGTTCAAGCAAACCCCGGCGTCGAACATGACCAGGCATGGAGCTTCGAAAGTCTACTTACAGCATGTAGCCGAATGTAGCCGTACCACCAAGAAGCAAAGCGGAGAGAGGTTCTTTGGTTGAGCGTGAGTAGATTCTAGAGGACTAGTGGACTGGGCGTAAGATGGAGATGCTTCTGGGCTCGTCCTGGGCTCTGAGGACCTGGGAACGCTGTCCATTGTCCATTGCCGGCTGCCGGCTAGTGACTAAAAGCCCTTTCGAAGGTATCCGAATCCTCAGCAGTAGGCCAGAAGAAGGGTTGAGTGCGGCTCTCCCCACACCCCCAGCAATGTGCAGAAACTCACGGCCAAGAACAACCCACTGCCTACCCACCTACCTACCTGGTACCTACCTGCCCACCTACCTACCCAGGATGAGATACCTGTGAAAAGGTCAGGCGAATGAATGTGGTTCTACACTTGAAGAACTAGTCGAGATCTTCCGCATGTCCATGATATTGGATTTGTTGGCAGCCATCTTGGTGCAGGTCTTTGTCATTGGATTCCTGCAGAACGAAAAATCAAGACTGCTCCCAAGATTCTAGATTTCGCTGCCGGGGTCCCTGCTAGTTACCTTGAACAGCCGCTCTTGAACTGCAATAGCGAAAGCTTGCGGGAGCCAAGAAAGAAGATTGCTCTGAGGACTTCTCTTCTCTGGAGCCTTCTGGCCCTGCTAGTTTGATTTATAGTTCTTGTCGCACTTATCTCTTGTATGTGTACTCTCTGGGGAAACCTCTAGCACTTCAGAGCCCTTCAGCCCTGAGGATCCGCTGCGGCAACTTGGAAGCCGTTAAGTCTTAAGTTGTGCATTTGTGCATCTTGGAGTTCACACGATGGCTCGGGCCATCACTGAGGTTCTACTATGCTGGGTGCTTGAAAACCTTGAGCCTTACATAAAGCAAACGGGTTCCCGTTCTCCAAGATCGCGGGTGCCACAGACTTCTGAGCGAGAATTCGTTGTTGCAAGACGAGTCTGCGTGCGACCAAACATATGCTTGGAATGACGGCACTCTGATGTCACAGCTCCGTCTCGCGCATGAAAAGTTTTGCTTCGCATGATTGCACTCGTATCACGTGGCCGGCCGGTCTTGTGCAGCAAGGGTTGTGCTGTGGATGACTGCCCTCGTCATGGCTCGATCTGATGGCTTTTCCCACTGCGGTGAATCAGTTCCTGACGAGGGACGCCCACACGGGCAGCCCACGTGACACGTGCAAAGCCTGCTGCAGTGAGCCTTCGAATTGGAAGCAGCGATCAGTGTTACAGTATCTTCATGTCATGGGGGCTCACAGCCCAAAGCTGCAAAATTTAAGGTCCCAACAGGTCCCCAATTGCAGAATCCGTTCCGGGCATATCTGGATCTAGGCAACTTGAGCCGACAAGCGAGATCAAAGTACGGAGCACAGGCATGAAGGTCTTCTGTTGCGAAATGTGGCGAGATGCGTTGTTTGCCCTGGTTCAGTCATTCGAGCCTCGAGCTGTCGTCATGATGACATGACGGCGCTCACACCAAGCACCTGCACAGTCTCCACGCAGCCCGACGTTACTGAAGGCGTAGCCGCTTAAGTCTCCTAGGCCCTAGGCCTCTCCCTAGGATTTCGGGAAAGAAGAACTCCTTGGCGCGGCGAAGGCGGTGGCAACTCCGGGCAAGTTTCCCTGCCGTGTCCAAGACAAAGGCGTAGAGAAGCAAACGGACCTTAAGTTGACACATCTGCAAGTGCGAAGCGCGCATGTTCTGGGTTCTCACACAGCCACACGGACACACACACACACAGAGACAGAGACACAGACACACTGACCTGTAGAGACAGAGGCACCACAAAGTTGTGTTTCCACCTTGACGAATCGTGACCGCTGCGACCGCACATGGAGTGGCGGGCGAGATGGCGCGGCTCAGGCGCCAAGCAGCAGGTAGCATGTGCCTCCTGAAAGCCTTTCTTTTTTGTTTTGACAGGTTGGGCCTTGGCCTTGGCCGGCTGGGCCAAGGCTTTCTTTGCGGCTCTCTCTTCAGCTTCCTCTTCGGCTACGCGGCGGCGCAGGCGGGCAGAGCCAGCGGAGCCACGCCCGAGCCAGGGCCGGCGCTTTCGAAGGGTCGCTTCCGGGTCGGGTGGTCGGGTGGTCGGGTGGTGCTTCAAGGGTTCGGCTGGGTTCTTGGGATTGCTGTTGCGCTCTGCGCTTTCAGGAGGCTCCCTGGGCCGCCAGCAAGCAGTGCCACTCGACGACGTAGCGGACGTTCCCGAAAGTGCAATGCGTGCACGCGGCGGCGCGGCTGAGGTCCCGAGAGGTACGACAGCAACGGCATGTGGAAGGCGCCCCCAGAAAGCTTGGGCTTCGCATGGCTCTGGCTCTCCTTGAACAGGGCTCGAGGCTCGTTGGGGGGAACTACACGCTCTACTGCGCCCCGGGCTTCGAGGCGGAAAAACGGACGGCAGACTGCTCAAACTGCTGCTGCTCCTCTCTCTCGCTTCTGGGCGGGCCCGGCAGGTCTCGGGGCCCAACGGAGGCCGCCGGGAACGGGCGAATCCGGGGCGAATTTGGTGTGAGAGCGCTGCTCTGGCGTTTTGGGTCCGCTTTTGGTAGGCCCCAGCCGCTCCTTGACATGTCCGCCGAGCCTGGTGTGGCTGGAGGACGAAACGAACGGGGGCCCCCTTAGCCCGCTTTGTGACGGATGTGGAGAGGAAAGAAAGGATTTTGCGACCCGCAGGAACTCCACTGCAAGAACGTGGATGACTGCGCCAAGCTGAGGCGAGACACGCTGCCATGCTGCATCTGCTCGCTTCCCAGATCCACCGCGCGAGCAGCGCGCCTCAGGCACGGTTGCGGTGCCCTGGGCATCTGTTTGGACCTCATTGACGGCTACGACTGCAACTGTGAAAACGCAGCTGGGCTCAGCCTGAGCTGGCCTCTTAATGTTTCTTGCTTTTTGTCCGAGCCCATAATCTTCGCCGAGCCGAGGGCTTCTACACGCGACACTACCTGGATTCAGAGATCGTCTGCGGCCCAAAGGAGGGGACCACCCGAAGAAGACAAGACTTCTCCTCTCCTTCTCTCCTTCTCCTCCTCACTCCCCTTCTCTCGCCTTCTCTCGCCTTCTCTCGTCTTCTCGCGCGCATTGCGTCGCAGCGCACCGCCTTCGCCCTTCGCTCCTTGGAGGGCATCGACAAGGACGTCTGCCATGGCCATACATGCGGAGCTTACGGCGCAGACGGCTGAGACGTGGCTGGGTTGAGCTTGTGAGCTCCTTGCTGTCCTCCTTCGAATCTGTGGCTTGGGCATCCCTTGCCTTGCGAGGTCTGCATCGACCTTGTCGGCAATGCTTCCGGCTATGATTCGGCTAAGGCACTTTCCTACACTGCAACTTTCAAGTTGGCACAGCTGACAGCCGCACTGGATCTTTAAGGGAATCTACCGATGCGAGTGCACGGATGGATTCTTCGACAACGGTGTGACGCCGCTCAGAAGCAACAGCCGAACGGCGGCGAGATTCTGCACTCGCAACTGGCCGCCTTTGCACACTTTCGACTCGTTTGCTCTCGCAGGTGCGAGCGCCAAGACTGCGGCAACAAGTCGGATCCCTTGGGCACCTGGCTAGGCTGGGCTGGGTTACCCCGCGGGGGGACAGCGCAGCAGAGATGCAGAGATGCAGGCAGCACGAAGTTCGGCGACGAGTACACTCTCAGGCGAAACGGCTCCTTGGAACCCCTCTCTCTGTCTTCAGAAGGCTGGCAGCCAGCCGACCGGACCGCCACTCCCTCCGGCACGATTACCCGAAGTGCTGCTGGACCCCCTTTGCCCCCCGTGCAGGTGGGTTAAATTTCGGTGGGGGTTGGGACGGTGGGACTGTACGGATTTGGCTTCGGGAGCAGCCCGCAAGACTGCAAGAGACCAAAGCTTTACGGTCTCTGTCGATCGATCACAGGTGGACAAAGCAAGCTACACCGTCAATGGGCGCTGCAAGACAAAGAGATGTGGAACAGCCGGATGCCCCTCGGGCGCTGTTTTAACCTTGCAGCCCACGCCAAATGCAGTGCGAATTTGGCAAGATGAAGCCCTGCAGGAACACAGGGTCAGTTGCACAAATAGAGTGAGCGGAGGGGAACGTTTCGAACATCCGCGAACACACACTCAGTGAGGCCATGGTTCGTCCACGTGTTGACAGCTTTCGAGGGTGTAGTTTCCTAATGTTCTTGCGTGCAACTATTTTGAGCCGCTGGTCTTAAGCTCTTCTCCCTTTTGCTCCCCTTCTCGGGTCTCCGAGCAGATTTTCCAAGCTTGAAGAGGGCCATGCTATGGCTATGCATCGGCCTTCTGATGTTGACTTCACTGGTGCAGACATTTTCGACTATCATTACCAGAATCAATGTCGGAAGATGTCGGAAGTCCTGTGATACGATTCGACACGTCATCCCTCGGCACGTAAAAGGAATCCTGCAGCCTGCAGGTGTCCGCCTGGCTCCTACATCTGGGGCGGCGCGCTGCAGGAGGCGCACGTGCCGAGTTCTAGTAGAAGGGAAGAGGAGGCAATGCGGCAACGTCAGGTCACAATGTCCTGTGGCGCTTCTGGGCAGTGGCTGCAAGGGGCTCTGAGTTTGGGAAGGGCCATCGGCTAGCGGATCTTCTCTTTGCGGAAGGTCGGACTATTGGTGCGTGAACCCCTTGGACAAGGCTCTCCGGCCTGAAATATATCTTTTCCTGTTCGTCGTGGGCCACGTGCAGGAAGCCCAGAGCCGCATGGCGACGATGGAGCTTTGGCCGAGCACCCAGCAGCGGAGAGGCCGAGACGGCGAGGGCGGACCTAAGAAGCGCGCTTCGCTTCGCGCTTCGATTCAGCGGCCTAGGCTGGACGTGGCTTCGGTGCTGCTCTGCGTCCTCTCCGCTGCCTTGGCCGCGGGCCTCACGCTGGCCAGGGACTCGGACTCGGCGGCTGCGAGCGCTGTGGCTGCTCTGCACACCCTCTCTTTTTTTTTGGGGGGGGGGGAGGCGGGGGGGGGGGGGGGTGCGGCTTCTTTTGCTTCAGAAGTCGCCCCCCTTGGAAAGAGACTCAGGGAGAGTTTGGCTGGCATACATCTCTTGCTTCTGTCTCACAGACGAGGACTCTGAGCCCAACCCTACACTATCTAAACCCCATGTCACATGTCCATGGTCCCTGCCGAGGGCCTGAAACTATAAGCCCCCGACTGCAGGGTTTGGCCACGGTGGAGCCCTTTGGCCTCCAAGTCATCCTCGCGGCGCGGCCCGAGGAGCGCAACTTTGGGAGCTCCCACCGGGCTGCTCAGCTGCTCCACTGCTGAGAAGGCTGTCCTACGTAGTGACGTACTACTGCTAGTGACTGCTTGTGACTATAGTGCTACTACGACTGCCAAGAGTCGCCCTTGGCGGTGAGAGCGCAATGCCGCAGTGCTTGCCTGCCGCACCGGCCGCGCCAGGCCTGCCGAGGTCGATCAGAGTGGTCGCATGCGCTGCCATTTGCAATGCGCGTTTGCCGCGAGGATGGGCTCAGCGATCTCAGCTTTCTGCTGCCGATCCCGCTTTGCCTGCTTTTCTGCGACTGCTTCTGCCACTGTCTTCTGTCCGTGCTACTGCCATCCGATGGCACCGACATCCTTGCACCCATCTGTCGAGGAAGCCTGCGAGCCGGACGGCGGCAGTTTGCAGCCGTTTCGAAGTTGAGCACCTCGACAGGTTCAAGCGGCGGCCGCACCCGGTGCAGCTGCGGACTTGAGATCGGAAGCCGTGCCATGCTTCCCGGTTCATGTTTCCGCTTCGGCAGAAACCCAACAGCGGATAAGCTCATCAGCAGCTTGGCTTTGGCCTTGGACTTCGCAGCTGCTTTTCCAGCCTTCACCTCCACCTTTGGGCTTGCTGCCCTTGTCCTTACCATCACCGCCACTCGCATACCGGTCTTAGAGGTGCGAGGCCGGAATTGCTCGGATTCGCGGCCCGCGCTTTTCGGAAGCCTTCCGCGGGTGGCCCGGGCTCGGGCAGTGACACCACCGCCTTCACCGCCTTCGCCTTCGTAGCATCCGCTCCTTCGCCCGCCTCGGCGTTGGTGTGCCTTTATAAAGGGCGCGAAAAGGCGAAGCTTCTCGCAGGTCTCTGGCTTCACCACAAGGCATCTTGACACTCCACATGTCCAGGTCGGAGTCGCCGTCCCGGAGCGGACCTCTCGTCCTTGAGTATCTTCGGCTCGGCCGAGCGGTCCTTCGCATCCTGTTCCGGCTGTCGGCGAATCGCCTGCATGATCCCCACAAAGGCCGAATCCTGCCGGGGCGCGGGAGCCCGTGGCTCTGGCTCGCAGCTTCCACTCCTTGGCTGCCTCCGAGCCCAAAGTCAGCGTGTCTTCGTTGGAGCCTGGACGGGGACACGCCTGTAATGCTCCCACAACCAATCATGAGGATGTGACGCAAGCAGAGCTAGCACGAATACTCTGCTGCACGGCACGTCTCCGCGGCACTTGCTGCCAAAGCAGCTTACTGATTCCGGGCGACTACTGGTACTTGTACTACTACCACCACTACTATACTACAACTACTACTACTACTAGCCACCCCCCTCCTCCTACCAACCACCTGACGCCTTAACCCATCATCATCATCGCCGCCAACGAGAATGACAGTCGCAGAAGATGAGCAAACTCAGGCCCCCTATCTGTGACAGCTGCGGCGGTTGCCGAGGCTCACTTGCCTTAACTGTCACAGCCGTTGAAGTTGCAGAGGCGCAGGCCCCAACACTGCGACAGCAACTGGAGTTGCAAACTCGAGGGCGAAGAAACTGCCAAAGCACAGGCGGTCGAATAGCACGAGAACGTTATAAATACCGTGCAAAACGCAGGTGCTGCCAAGAAGGTGTTTAAGCACTCCTCGACACTGAAACGCAACATCTTGTAAACATCAGAATCAAAAACAAAGGTGCCAGCTGTACGTGGGAGGGGCTCGCCAACACCCCTCAAGCCCAGACCTCGGCGTAGGAGGGTTTGCCTTTGAAGTGGTGTGTGGTGGTCGAGGCTGCCTGTACGTCATCATGCCCCCCGCCAACCTCCCTCCCCCCCGGACGCAACAACGGTGCTAAAGAACGGTGGGTAGCAATGGACTACGACATGACGAAAGTACTTTAAATGCCGAGTAAAAGAAAGCTTCCCCCAACCAATTTCGAGTTTTCGCCAAAAGCCCTCCCAAAGCCCAATGTCGAGTTTGCATCGTGCAGAGGTAGTTTTGATGACAATGACTATATAGGATGGTCCGAAATGACAAACGTGCTGTATATACCGAGAGAAACGGCTCTTGTGGAGATGTTGCTCGGGGTGTCTGCATAACCATGTCGTCATCATCCCCCCCTCCCCATGGGATGTAACCTGGGCGTGTATCCCCTCGCTAGGCGAAATACGGCGGTTTTGTTCTGCGCTTGGTTGTTTTGGCCTGTGTTTGGGCTTTTCCCGACAAGGCTGTCCCCCTTTGTTTCACCTCGCCTGTCCTTGCAGATGGCCCCTACATCATGCAAGGTCTTGCTTTGTGCCTCTGAGCCGTCTTGCCGTGGCAGTGCCTTGCCAATGGTCCTTTCTTGGTCGCTTGACGTAAGGAAAACATTAGAGTTAGTACCACGTCACAAAGTCTCCTGATTCATTTCATGCTTTCCGGGTGCGGGCACGTCCCCCCCGGAAGAGCTGAAGTAGGCTTCGCGGACTGGCTGCGAGTGGGAGTTTCGGATATGTGTTGCACCGGAATCTCCCAATGGGGTCCTTGTCTCAGATATATGATGCACCGGATTCGCCACATTAAGGGCGTGTTTAAAGTG